AGCGTAATATTTCCACTTTGGGCAAATGAAATCAACTTTATTTATTAATTGAAAGTTGTTCAGGCAAGTTGAAACTACTTGAATATTAGTTTTCATAAGATTTCATTTTTTTGTAGCTGTATTAACTTTAGAACACTTATTACAGCTTATGTCATTATTTTAAATTATAAAAATTAATTTATATTATTGGCTAATTATAATCACATGATACTATTAGATTTAATAATTTAATAAAATATTATTATTTAAAATTAAATTCATATAAATGCAACTAATATTAATAATTATAATTTAAGCAGTAAATTCATTGACCAATTCTTGTAAATTCTATGCTCAAATTATGTAATTTCTTTGATCAAATCAATATAAATTCAGTATAAATTATGGTCAATCATACAAATGGTGCATTTTTGTGATATGGAATTGTGCATTTTCATATATCCTTATATATAGTTTAGATACATTATTTTTAAGAAAAAATTGTATAAATCTTATTAAAACATGATTTTTTATAGGGTCTAATTATAATAAAATTTTATTATTCAGTAACAATTCAATTTATTTATATCAAAGAATTTTTTTAATTATAAATGTTATATTTGGGGGACAAAGTCCCCCAGCAAATCGCATATTCTAGTTATATAATAATAAAAAATTACTATGAATAAAATTATGACTCAAATTATGATAAAATTAGTTTTTACACGTTACCAAAATTTTTATTGATCCCATCATGATTATCATTTTCGTCATCCATGATGATAATTTTATTACTTAATTCATCCTGTAATAAAATTTCATTCAATTTAGCCACACAATTAAATATCCTACTTGTATAACAAGATTTTGAATGATATTTAATTTCTGGTTCATTCTCTATAAAATTAATAATAAAAAACATTAAATATAATATAACAAATAAATACTTCATAACTTTAATTTGTAATTACCAGGAACAGGTATTCTTTTTTTTTCATCTTGTTCAATTGGATATTCTAGAAGCCATTTACAAAAAATAATTTCTAATTCACTAGCGGTTGGCCTTTTTTTAGGATTATTATCCCAACATCTTTTCATTACCTCAACATATTCAGGCATGGTCCCTTTTATAATTTCTGGTCTAATACCTCTGCAAATATTTAAAGAAAGATTTAAATCATGAGGAATATCATGAAATGCTGGAACTCCTGATGTCATTTCCCACATAATTATTCCAAAACTATATATGTCAGCAGCCTTTGTGTAAGGTTTACCACGCAATACTTCTGGTGCTATGTAAGGAAGAACTCCATATATTTCGTCTTTAGTCATAGGTTGATTAACTGGTCTACATAATCCAAGATCACTAATAAATAAGGAAGATTTACTTTGAAGTATATTTCCATTATGAAAATCTCCATGAACTAGATTTAATTTGTGAATAGCTTTTAGCTGTTTTGATATATCAAATAAATTTTTAAATTTATCGTTTGGATTATATTTTTTCATCAATAAATTATCTCTTAAACTACTATCAAATGCATAATCCATTACAATCATATAATTTAATGTATCTGGATCCTGTGTTATTCCAATTATTGGAATAAGTACAGCATAATTTAAAAATGCTTCATGCTGACATTGTAAATGTAATTTCCACTGTATTTAAAATAAATATTAATTATTGTTATAAATAATATTTTATATTGTCTAATAATGTACAATAGCTGCTTACCTCGTTTAAGAAATCCTCATTGATATTTGACGAATCATTTATTGCCGTTTTCAGAAATGTTGACATTAGAATGTCGATCATTTCTATAAATCGAACACACCGAACACACACCGAACACACACCGAACACAGCAATTAAAATTAAAAAAAAACAAATTTTCCTTTAAAAAAAACAAAATTAATATATTTTTAGGTAGTGTGCATAAAAAAATGTATAAAAATTATATTATTTACATATATGTATTCACTTGTATTTGCTTGTATTTGCAAATGTTCAGTGTGTTCGGTGTGTTCGTTTGTATTCGGTGTGTTCGTTTGTGTTCGGTGTGTGTTCGGTACAAATTTTCATATTTTCAATTGTATTCATATCTAAAAAATGACAAAAATAGTTTTTATATAAAGTTATGCATGAATACTTCAAGTTTGCATAATTTTTTGTATGTGTTCACAGTGTGTTCGGTGTGTTCGGTATAAAATGGTCAAAATTTCAGATTGTCAACATTTCTGAAAACGGCAATAAACTTTTAAGTACTATTGGACGTCCATTTTTTTTCATTAATTTTGAGAGGAATTTTAATTTGAGAATTATTTGCATCTTTATAATCCTGTTGATCAAGTTTTCTAACATTACGTTCCCAATCTTGTTTCTCATAATTCCAACGTGATATCCTATCATCTAACCAAATTGCCTTGTAAACTGTACTAAATCCACCTCGAGCTAAGAATTTAATATTTCTCAATCGATTATAAGGAATCCATTCAAGTAATTCAAACCAACCTCTTGCATTTAATTGTGATTCTTGAATGAACTTATCTATTTGCTTATTTCCACTAGTCCAATTATCAAAATTTTGATGAAATTTTTTGGAATAACATTCCTTATACCAATTTAAATAAGTATTTATCCTATTACATTCAAAACATAAACCAAACATCTGATAATATGCTAATTGTACTAAAATTGTTCATGATTATGATTATAGTTTTCATAAAATTTCCTTAATTTTTTGATCAGTGATTTAATAATTAAATTATAAAAGTTATTTGATTCATCATTTAAGTTTAAAAGATTAATTTTATTAACTGTTTCAATAACATTAATCAATTTTTGAAGAAGTTTTAGTAAAATAAGATATATGAATAAAATGAATGAACCTATTCTGATCCGAAATTTTTCTTTTAAGAATTTCATTAATGAAATAAAATATTTTTCTTAAGAATTTTAGTAAAGTATAAAAAAATAAAAGTTCTTATGAAGTAAAAGATTTCTATTAAGAATTTCTTTAATGAAATAATACGATTTTATATGATTTTATATAACAGATAATATTTCGGATCATTTTTCCATGATTGTGATACAATTGACGATAATCTTGGTTAAACCAATTTCTTAATCTATCACGGAAAAAAATTACCTTCTTGACCGTGTACGACATCCACAATCGGGAAAGATTTATCATCATCTTTTTAATTTTCTTATAGACGAATAATTTCGTTTTTAAGAAATTTTGAAATTTAACGTAATTTATTACAAGAAAAACTTAATTTTATTTACGTGATTATGAAACAAAATAAAAAAGTGATGAAAAAAAGTGAGTGTACTGATAAGGAAAAATTAACTACATCAACCTAGAGTAGGGATTAGAATCGATTCAATCGAAAATCGAATCTTGAGAATCGATTAAAGATTCGATTTGACGATTCGATTTTCGATTTCGATTAATCGAATCTAAACCGAATCCCATTTGCGTCGGAGTCACGTGAAGTTACACAAATTTCCAAAAAAGAAAATTTAGAAACCCGGAAATTTCGGAAAATCAAGAAATTTTGGTTACAAAGATTTACAAAAATGGAAATTTTATGACGATCATTTAATTCAGGCCAGAATTAATAAATTAAGATTTTAATGGAGTAAATGGGCGGCAAAGCATAGTAATGGTGATATTTATGTAGTATATATGTTTGATCATCATTTTTCAGCAATTTTGATAATTCCGATATTATTTTTTTTACCGTAACGTAGTTATAGAAATGACATGATTACTTTTATTGCGCCATAATATAAAAAAAATTGATTTATTGAGATTCGATTTTTAGATTCGATTAATCGATTCTACAGATACGATTCGATTTTCGATTAATTCGATTTTGGTAGAATCGATTCCAATCCTAACCTAGAGCGATATCATTTCAATTGGAATAATCATGAAATATAAAATATACATATTTTTCATATATACATATAACAATATTAATTATATAATTCTTTTAATATAACCAGAATTAAAATTGAGTGGCGTATTTATATTTGCCATCTTACTATATTTCCCGTAAATAGATGTTATTAAACATATTCATCGCTAATTTCTTTCCAGGACAGATCCTAATTCTGCCTCCCCACATAGTAAAAAGAATTTTTTTATATGCTGCTTTCTGGAAAATATTGGTTCAAATTTTTAGGATAGTCTAATAGTTAAATATTAGAAAATGAAGTTACTCCTGACCAATCAAATTCTCTAACTATATTCTTTTCAAAATTTATGCGTTTAATTGTAAAAGCTACAGGAAAATGACATTGTAATATTGCAATTTGCCAACTGTCTTTATTCGTATATTTTTATTTTTTTCAATGATAATGAATTTTTATTTGATTTTTTTTTTTTCATAATGATTAATAATTTTTTATTAAAAATAATCTTACATAATATAATAAATATTCTTTTTTGATTAATAAATTATATACTGTAGACTATAAGGTAGTACACACCCTAAATACAGCCTAGTCGTAAATTAATATAATTGAGTATTTAATTATGAATGAGTATTTAAATTATAAAATTTGAAATTTTATAAATATGCAAAACAAATGTAAAACAAAACACTTTTTGCGTAGCCCCAGAAATTATCGTCATTTTATAATGGAGTGAGACAGACACCATATTGCATTTTGGACAATAAGATTACGTTGATAATTTTTTTATGCACCAGAGCTAAACATGTTATTCGCAGAAAAAATGCTCAAAAAAATAAAATTCCATCCAAAGGAGTGCACCATCAAGTACTCTAGCTATCTTAATTAATTATCGTCCCTTTTTTAGTGTCATACAATCGATTAGAATAATATTTGCAGACACTGGGAACGAGATCGACAAACCTATAGTACTTAAATGGTGTTTGAGGAGTACCTTAGTGGAAATCCACAAATAAGAGATTCTGTTCCTCCAATGACACATGGTTACATTTCTTGTAAATTCCACGAATGCTAATACTTTCTGGATCATAATAGCCATTCTGAATACAAATATTGACAATATTGTGTCCAAATGCATTCCTAGAGCCTGGTGCCTCACTCACCATGTCATCATACATTTTTAGAAGCAATGGTACAGATAGTTCCTTTTCAACCTAAAACACTAAAAATAAAATAATGACCATATAATATTAATAAAATCATTTTGAGAAACAAAATAATATAAAATTTTGTTAATTAATTCATAATAAATTAATATTAATAATTCAAAAGTATTTGATGGAATCATAAAAAAAGTTGATAATTATATCAGTTTATATGATAGAATTGTTGTTTCTCTGGTAGTAATACAATTAATTAAACAAACCTCACATCAATCTGTTTCTAGTTTCATCTATTCTTCCCTACTAAGTTTTGATTTGATCAGGTCAAGATTATTCTACTCTGGTAAGAATATTATCTTGTAGCATGAAATTCCAATTCTGATGTCCATGATTTTATAAATTATTAAAATTTCTTCATTAACATTTTCTTTGTTGCCCTATTAAAAAAAAAAAAAATTTTTTATTAATAACAGAATTCATTAAGTAGTAATATTTCACTAGTATATAAATAAACATAAGTTTCTCAATAAGGAAGGTGCGTAACTGATTCCTCCTCGAGAATCAATAGACCTTATTTAAAGAAACTTTAATTGCTCTTGTGAACTTAAACCAACCACTAAATGGGTGGTTGATCCAGCAGAATCATTATGGCATATATAAGTGCCTCACAAAATGTTTTGTGGACATAAACCAACCACCAAGTAGGCAGTTGATCCTGCGGAAGACTCCTTGGCCGGCATATCCAAGATGACCTCACAAAAGCAATGTTTTGTGGACATAAACCAACCACCAAATGGGCAGTTGATCCTGCGGAAGACTCCTTGGCATAGCTGGTATATCAAGATGACCTCACAAAGCATATTTGTGGACATAAAGTCATAAACCAACCACCAAATGGGTGGTTGATCCTGCGGAAGCAACTTGCATAGCAAGACGATCTCACAAAAACAACCAAAGTGTTTTAATTATAACTAGTACCTCGTTTACATCAAGGGTCCGTCTTGTTCTATGGCGAGTACTTAGTTTGCTTGCAAATTTACTCATAACTTTTTCCTGAAAAGCAAACTATATTCAATTTCAAAAACCACACGAAAGAAAACAGACTTTATTTTTGTTGATGCGTGATATTTATGTGATTATAAATATAATAAATATAGCAAGTGACATCAGATTACATCCTCACACAATAGTTATATATTGTTACTAGCCGTTAACACGTTTGTTTACATGTAAAAAAAGCGTGACATAATTAGTAAGCCGCACTATGTAACAGGTAACACAGATAACACAATACAAAAATATTTATACAGGTTAGCCTAAAACGTTACAATAATATACTATAAATAAAATTTCCGTCAATTTCAAAATATTCTGGAAATCTGCAGCGTGGGACCGGAAAAATTCAAATTTTACCAGATTTATCAGAAATTTGCCAAAAAATCCGGTAAAATTAGCCATATTGGGATTATTCGTCACATGGTGAAAAGTTATCATAAAAAAACATATACATGATTTAGTGAATGAAACTTCATTTATAAATATCATACTCATTAAGTTAGTGATATTTAATGATTTATAATATAATTTTATTTCTTTACAAAAAATTCAAATCACAGAAATTTGGCTAAACTTTTTTATTCATGTCGCACAATCGGAGTAAATTTTATCCTATTTCAATATAAATAAAAAGCTTGTTCTTTGTTCCTTGTTTCACTATTATTATTTTTTTTTACCTATATTTTCTTTTATTTATTCTTGCCTATAAATTAATAAAATATTCCTTATTCAACAAGCAACTAATTAAAATGGAAGAAGTTAATCTTAGTGATGAAGTAATTGAACAAATAAAAGATTTTAACAATCGGGAATTAACCAAAGAACAAAATGCCTTAATTAATAAACTAATACCAAACGAAGGATTAAAAGAAAATTATGAGATGTATGGTTTATGTAAAGAACGTAAACATATTAATACTAGTGATTTTTGGTGTCAAATATGTGAATCTAAAAGTTTTCAAAAAAATTTTAAAAATTGGACTAGTGGAAATAGTACTGTCGATGAATTTATTCAAAAAGCACAATTAAAAGCTAAAAAATTTGAAGAAATTTTGGAATGGATTGAATATAATAAACTTGAAAATTTTGAATATTTGGCCAAAGGAGGATTTGGAGTTACTTATAAAGCAATTTGGAAAGATGGATATATAAAAAGAGATTATAAAAATGATAAATGGATAAGAAATGGAGAAACAAAAGTTGCTTTAAAATGTTTGTATGATTCCCAAAACATTACGACCGAATTTTTAAAAGAAGTATGTAAAAATAAAATTTTTTTTTTTAATATGTATTTTAAGTATTATTTATTTTTCGTCTATAGATTCTTAAATTAATTATTTCTCTCTTTTAGATTGAATCGCATATTTTAGCGCATAAATCTGGTTGGGTAATTCGTTGTTTTGGCATTTCTAAAGATCCAAAAACAAATAATTTTATTATGGTTATGGAATTGAGAAAATGTAATTTAAGACAACATTTAAATGATAATTTTAATTCATTAAATTGGGAGAAAAAGTTATATATGTTACAAGCTATTTCATATGGTCTTAAGGATATCCATAATAGTGGATTAATTCATCAAGATTTTCATTGTGGTAATTTATTGAGTAATGAAAAACTTGATAAGGAAGTTTATATCACCGATTTGGGATTATGTCAACCAGCAAACGAAAAGATTTCTCAAGATAATAATAAAAAAGTGTATGGAGTATTACCTTATGTAGCTCCAGAAGTTTTAAGAGAAAAAAAATATACTCAAGCAAGTGATATTTACGGATTTGGAATTATTGCATATGAAATTTGTACGGGATTGCCTCCTTATCATGATATGGCTCATAATGCACTTTTAGCTATAGAAATTTGTCAAGGATTGAGACCAAAGATTGATTATAAGATTCCTCAACTAATTTTTAACATAATTAATCAATGTTGGGATGAAGATCCTTTAAAACGACCTAATGCAGAACGTCTTCATAGCGTGTTTTCTGATTTACTTTGGAATAATAACAATGAAGATTTCGCGATCATCAGAAAACAAATTAAAGAAGCAGATGAAATCAATGAAAAGCTAGCAACATCATTTCCTCTATTATTTAATGGAGCTCTCTCATATATAAAACATCCTGAAGCATTTTACACGAGTAGACATCTAGATTTTAGAAATCTTCCAGAGCCTAAAAATGCTAATTTTTTTGAAACCGAATATTCAGGTAATTGTAATTTACTAAAGTAATTAAATAAATAGTAAATAATATATCATTATTTATTTCATAGATTCTATAAGCATTGATTATATTGAACGCAATATTAATTCTAAAGGTATTTGTTTATTGTTTTTTTGTGTAATAATTTCGGGTTATCGAATTTTTTAAATTAAATTTATTTTATTATTTTTTTTATAGATTAAAGTGGAAGAAAGTAATTAAATACAGACTGCTTGAAGTGAAAATTTTTGGTAAAGAAGAAGGTTATTACGAATATGGTATGTAGAAATTTTTTTTATGTTATGTTTAATATATTTATTAAACAAGTTTTTTTAAAAGATTTGGTTAAGTTAGCAAACAATATATGTATTTACATAGGATTTTATTTCATGAAAAAGTGCACAGTCAATTGACGTTAATTTACGAATCAATTTTAATTAATTTATTTATTTTTATTAAAATTTATTGAATTGTTCATCATACATACAGTACATTATATGTTTTATTTAATTTCTTATTATTATTCATGAGATGAGATTATTCAATTGTTAACATGAAATAAAATGCATTCGTAATGCCCTATAAAAAATTTTATCCATTATTTGTATAAAAACTTCGTAAAAATGAGCCTTACACGGATCCATTCACGGAAAATGTAAATAAGTCGATAAATTCCGTGATATAGCGATAAGGTTATTAATTCCGGAAATATGAGCCTTTTACGGAAAAAAAATGGATTATAAAAAACGGATCAACTTTTTTACAGGATGTAGTCGTTACCATTATTTATTTTTACGTTTAAATTGTAAACAAAATCATGATTTATTTATTTATTTATCTATTGTTTAAGAAAAAACCTTAAGAAATGAGGATGTCTGTCTTTATTACCAAAGCCATTACAAGAAATACGAAATCAACATAAAAAATAAAAGTGATTTGAGCATATAAAGTAATACACAGAAATTAGTGAAATTCTGTTTCAGGAATTTGAAATTCGGGAAGAATTCACAATAAATTATATACTAAACAGGTTATTTTATAAGTTATAGTTTTAAGATTTGTTAACGCGAAAAAATCTTTTAATATACGTCACTTTAATATGAGACACGAAAAAAATATTCTGGAAAATTCGCATTTTTATTTCAATTGATACAGTGATTCACATATTTTTGAAATTGTAATAATCATATTATACAAACATTTTTACTATGATTAGTTGAAGGACAATAAAATTACATACATGATTAATTGTTCAATTGATTGTCTGATCGAGAACACAAGAAGTAATCATAAAAATTATTTAAATATTTATTTTTCTTTTTTAGATACTGTACCACTGTACCTCATGTAAAAAATCTTCAATAAAATCTTCAATATTTTTATTTTTAAAGTGATTATTATTTATCTATTCCTTTCCCAACTACTAGACGACGGATTAATCAATTCCCCTAATCGTATTTAACCCGTTAGGATTAATTACGTGTATAGACTAATCAGTTTTTGGGATAAGATTAATCCATTTATATAGGAATTAGCAGTACATAATCCAACATGGGCGATTTATCATCTACTGATACATAATAAACAAATAGTAGATTCTTTATTTTGATTTTTTTTTTCCTTATTTTGCAAAATACAATGAAATAGAGTAATAGCACATAATGAATTAATGACTTTCCATTTGGGGATGTTTGAAAAAACCGCCAAAGATGTTACTCCAAGTCTTCAACGTATTTGATTTTCTATGTTTTTCAAGGGGCTTAGAATCTAGATATAAATGATATATTTTGAGATACGCAATTGCTCTATTAGTATTAATTTATGGCATATCAGTTTCGTATAAAAACCGTAATTCATTTGACTTTTGTTAAGCCGCTTAAACCGCAATTAAGTAAATTTTTATACGAAATATATGTAAATAATTGTAAATATATGTAATATAGCAACGTAATTTTATCAGCGCTTTATGCTAAATCAAGCATAGTATTCGTTTCTTACGCAAGTACAAATCAAGTATAAAAATGGATCATTTCTCTATCTAACTTCATTTTCGCAAAAATAACAATTTTTAAAAAGCGTTAAGTTAACTTTGACGAAAAAAACGAGCATACTCTACTCTACATACACTTAATAAATTTACTACACGTTATATTATTTCCATTTTCGCTTTATCAATGTTTCGGAAAACATGCCATTTTTTGCTCTTTCCGCTTCTTTTTTTCTTGCTTCTCTAGTGCAAAAGATTTTTTGTATTCATGGGAATCGTGGCCATGTGGTTGTTCTTGTGCGATATTAAGAAAAAATTCGCCGATATGATCATCGTACATGATTCTCTCCGCAAAATTAAGGCTCGTGATTATGCCTACGCCACGGAGGCGCAGAAAATCTTAACAATGATCAATAACATGACTATGAGACTATTGCCGTAATGATTTTAGCAGAATTAATGTCGCTATTGAGCTCCCCAAAACGGTTCAATTCAACGTCATGCATGTCATGCAATTACCAGAAGAATCCAGCCGGATGAAACTGACGCAAGCTCTTCTTCCAATAGTTCTTTTGGTGAGTATAAATAGTCCGCTATATCTTATTGATATATTTTTACTTTGCTCTTGCAGATTCAGGTCAAAGATATCAGCTTAACTGCCTGGACTAAATTTAAGGAAATTTTTGATCGAATTAGGGCTGAGAAAAAATTTAACTTAGAAGAGATGTGTCTTCATGTAGCAATGTAAATTCGTGCATTAGGTGGAAGTATTAAGATTACGGTTCCAGAGTTTTATGAAAGAAATATTAAGAAGAAGGATGGTACGTTTGTACATTAGATGATATTGGTTTACGGTTAGATAGCAAACTTAATAATTTAGATAGCAATGCTGAGTAGTGGGAGGAACTGCCACTATATGGTTAGGACTCGGCTAGCTTTAACAAGCAGGAGCGTTCTTTCATGCCTTTCCCTCTCTTGAAACAGTCTGCTATTCTATTATTTTTTACTTTCATTTTTACTTAGCCGGCAAGCCTTTTGTGTTTTCAGATATATGCACATTTCTTCACCAGCAGAATAAGTTTTAACATACAAAGAAATAATTTTAAAATATGATAATTTTATTTATTTTCTGCTAAGTACATTATTAAATTACATCATAAATTGCAGTATTTTCTCATGTATTACTTCTCAAAGATATAATAATGAATTATGTTTTCGATTAATTTTTAAATTATACATGTTTTTTAATATTGCAAATATGAATTTTTGCTGAAATGAATAGAATGGTGCACAATATAAAGATTTTTGATATACAAAGAGTTAACAAGGATTTATAAAATTACCAAAGGCTGTTGTGAATCCCACTCATAATATACATTTGTCTTACACCAAATGGCATCCAATATAGGTTTGGATTCGTTTGTAATTGTCGCACTTGAAGTAAGCCTCTATCATTGCTAACGAATCTTGAGACCATCGAGTATTGGTCATCCAGTGTCCAACCAAGGATTTGAAGTTCTCTTCTCAAGTTTCTTCTACACCAGGCTTTAAATATTATAATTAAATATAAATAGTTAAATGAAAAATATGCACTTTTAATCATATAAATAAGTTATATTTCATATTTTTTATTTCACATACCACCATTTCTCCCAAAGTGGGGGTGCCCCGCAGGAATATTAGGATGTTCATATATATCGTAATCAATATATGTGAGATCTCTTAACCGAGGTGGAGGACGAGGGGGTGTCACTTGTCTCGACATTTTTCACAGAACCTCTTGTTGATAAAGAATATGATTCGTTTTTGGCTGAGAGAATTACACAAGGATGATTCGTTTTTGGCTGAGGGAATTGCGCAAGGATTAAAATAAGTAATAAGTAATAATTGAGGGAAGTAAGTAATGTGTATATATATATATATATATATATATATATATATATATAAAAGATATATAAAAGATAACTTGTAAAAATCAGTTAAATGATGAAAAATATAGCGAATATTTATATATTTTTGTATAGGGACTAATTTTAGTATATGATTGGTTCTAATTTTGCCACGTAGTATAAAAATTATAAACTAAATTTGTGAAACACATATATTACATAGTGTAAAACTAATTAGTTATATTAATCTAATATTATTTATTATCAGTTATTAGTCCGAAAGTGTAACGAAGGACTGCGCATGTTAATATGCAATGTCCTTCCATTCCGTTTTCAGAAAAATGATCACGTGTCTAAGTTTCTTCGAAATTTATTTTTTTTTTTTTTTTTTTTTTTTTAAATAGTAACGCATTTTATTAATTATTTAAAATTTATAAAAATTTACATAATTAGTTTAAAATACTTAGAGCTTGTCATAAAATGACAAACCCTATAACTAAGTTTTAACTATCTAAAACTATCCTATTTCTATCTAATTTTAAACTATTTATTTATCTATACTAGATCAGTAATCTTTGGTATTAAGTCCCAGTTATATTCAATGTTATTTCCGTCAGTTATCACACCTATAAGTCTATCTCTCGTTACTATGTTAATTTTTTTATCGAATTCTTTTTTTTGTTTTTTCTTGTCTTTTTTATTTGTTTTTTTATTTTCTGTGTTTTCTTCAGAGTCTCCTTCCTGTTGATCCTGCTCTCTTCTTCTTTTTTTCTTCCTTAAATCTTGCTTCTGTATCCCCTTCAGTTTTTCTAATCTTGCTACTTCTTCACAACGAATTAACCAAATTCTAGTTTTAAATTCTTTATATATAAAGTTCCAACACTCTTTTATAATCATTAGTTCTTCTTTGATCTTTGTTAAATGGTTAAATCTATCATTAAAGACTCCTCTTAACATTTCCCAGATTCGACTTTTTCCAATCAAGATATGTGATCTTTCTTCTAGGATTGTGACAATATTAATATTGTGATTTCTCAGTATTGTAATATCTTCTGATCTTCCATTTTTATTTAAATGTTCTTCAAATTTACTTATTGATTCTCTCAAAATTTCATCTAAAGTTGCTTCATTATCGTTACAAATCCATATATGATCCCATGTCTCTATCTCATTTTCGTCGCATCTTATACACTTATTATTTTCTAATGTATCAACGTCTCTTTTACATAATGTTTCGTACGTTGGAAGGTCTTTTAATAAGTTCTTTATTCGATACGACCTTTCATTGGTATCTTCAGAACTACATTGCCTTTTAGTAAATGTTGTACGATTACTAATAAATTCCAATGTCGTCCTCCAGTCGAATTCTTTTTTAAAATTAAATATAAAAAGATCATTTAATTTATTACTATTTAGGATTTCATTTTTCCATAATGCCATAGAAACTTTTTTCCTCCAATTTCTGAATCCTCCAGTAATTATGTTTTTCCTCCATATTAAATTATATTCATTTATTAGTAGGGCATTTTCTATTATTTCGATCTTATATCTCATTTTCTTTTCTTTGAGATCTTTTCCTAGAATTTGATCCATTCTCTTTTTGATACCTTTCATTGTTATTACTTCTTCCTCATTAATTTCTTCGACTATATTTATATCATTTTTTGTCATGAAATCTTCTATATAAAGCAACTCTATATAATAGTCGTTATCTATTTTTTTCCTATTACTTGTGTTTGTAATAAATTCTTTGATTAATTTTTTAACATTTTTATTTATTCCTAAAACTATCTCACTGTTACTATTAATCAGTATTAATCCAATAATTATACTTCTGATTAAGATTTTGAATTCGTTTTCGTTAAAAATTTCATAGCTAGCTGACATCAAGATTTCTTCTTCTTTATTCACGTTATTTTCTTTTAAAATCCATATTATATTATACCAAAAAGCTCTTTTACCTTTACTATTTGTATGACTTTTAATTTTCTTTAGCTCTATCATCAAATAATATCTTTTGGCTCTTCTATCGTTTTCATTTTCAAATAAGCTATTTTTCATTATTGTAATAAAATCATCTTCCGCTTTAATTAACCTATCAATTTGATCAATCTTTCTATTTATTTCTTCGTTATTTTCTTCGTCCTCGCTAATTGCTCTTATACATTCATTTTTCTTAATTAAAGTACTAATTGTTTCATAAGGTTTTATTACTCCCTCTTCTTTTCTTGTCGTTATTATTCTGCTGTTTTTATTTTCTATATATATTAAACATTTTTCATTATTGTCTTTTTTCTTACTAATATTTTTCTCACATCCTTCACACATTATGAGTAAAGGTGAATTATTCCAGTCCAAAGTATCTTCTTTGTATGTATAATGAATACCTATTCTTTTATATTTCTTACTTTTGGATCCTTTTTTGTCGACTGCAAAGACTGGAAATTCGCCTTCTTCATTCCAAGATATTATCGTGTTTTTTCCTTGTTTCTCGCTTTCATCAAAATAGTTGATATTAATGTTACTTCTTTCGAATTTTCCCATGTATTCTTTTTTAATTTTCCTCGTATTCTCATTTGTATTGTCTATCAATTTTCCTTCTAATTCTTTAAACCATTTAGGAATTTTACCTTTTGTACTTACTCCTAATTCTATGCACATGTGTTTCCATTTTTTCATATTTACTCCATCTATATCTAGTACATCTTCGATGAACATTACTTTCTTGTTTCTTCTCGAGAGCGCACTTTTCATAATATTTTTTTCATCAATTAATTCAATAATATCTTGACCACCGCCTTCTATTAAATGATTTCTATTAATATTATTATGTAATTCGTGATCGCAAATATTAATATTTTCATTATTCAATAATTTAATTGCTTCAATTATCCAATTATTCTTGGTTTTATATATTAAATTCAAGTCGCCTGGACATTTTGACGTCCATATCCTCTTTTGTTCTTGCGACCTCTTCGAAATTTATCAGAGTTTTCCCATCATTCTTGACGTATTAAATATATGTCTATCAAAGGTCATATATCCAATATATCAAATATGTTTAATATGGCTGATACTGTATGTTTGATATGTTTGAAACTAGGCGGAATTGATGTCCAGTGACGCAAATGTATCGTTCTTGACTCATCAGGTTTGGACTTAATAAGTTATTACGATCACGTGCTACCTTGACAAATATTCACGTGATTATCCCCATATAAATATTTTGCCGAATTTTGCCTATACTGATTGTGTAATCCCTTTTTCTCTTAGTATATAGTTTCTTGTAATTTTTACTGTAACTTACTTTGTTCACTTTGAGAAATAAAAATAAAATAAATAAAAATAAAAAACAATCCCTTTTTCTCGATTTAACGCTCTTAAAGAAAATGCCAGGTACTATGAACTATTCACACTTCATAATATATTAACTGACCTCTTTTGACATTTTATTTGATTAAATATATAGTTAAACACAAGGAAAACAAACCAATAAAAAAGGTAGCGTGGAGTGAAGAAGATGAAGTGAGTATTTTTCTCCAGTTGCGAAAGAAATCGCGTATTTAATCTATTTAATCAGTATTTAATCTAACATTTCATCCTTTGTAATATAGGAACATCGCCAGAAACTCATCAAATGTGCCGAGAGATATGCTGAAGCTCGACAAAAAGTTCTATCTATTCCGGGCACCTCAGTCATCGAAGACATCCAATATGCGATGTCTCTTATCTACGAGGAATATAAGGCCAATACCTGGCCAGATAAATTCAAACAAAAATATGATTTATCACTTGCAGAATCTCCAATAAAGTAAGATCAATCGTCTTTTTGTTTTGTCTTTTTACTTTACTTAAATTTGTATATTTACTAGGGAAGCTTTAGTTGCGGCCAGAATCCTGGAAGAATATTCAGATTTAACAACAGTTTTACATCAAGATCTTAATTACGATTGGTACTGGGCCGTTAATGAAACTGGAGAAATTCTTGATAAGGCTATAGGATATGATGATCATCTTTAAGAACGCGACTCTATGGAAGGTTTGTACACAAAAAAGTGTATATCAATCGATTCTAACACTAAAATAACAACATATTAACAAGGCTATTATATCAACAATTAGTTGATGATAAATAAGTCTATGGTGTTTATACGTCATCACCCGTGCCTCCACAACATGAATATAATAATATAAGGATATTGAAAAAGTACAAATACTATTTTTAACTTTTGATTACTCGTAATTAATTTATAATAAATAAAAATTAATTGCAATTTGGGTAGTTTTTTACTAGTGTATTCCTGCGATAGAACATTAATTCAATATATGAATTAAAGTCAAAAGAAGTGCACCCTCATGATGAACCGCAATATTAAGAAGTCATTTTTTTTATTCATTTTTTTTAGCCGGTCGTCCCTTTCTCATGTATTACTTTACAAAAATATAATAAAGATTTTATTTCGAATTTTTTAAAGATGTATGTATTTACAAGTGATATTAATTTGCTTTCGTATTCTACTAACATAGCTTCTTCGCAGGAAGAAATATTTTAGAATTAACAGATATGAAAAAAAAAGTAATACATTTAATGAAAAATAATGAAAAACACCCTAATTCCTTTGGAATCACCACCAGCGTAGTTATTCTGATAGTGATATTAATTACGCAAATAATAATGGTGGCTTTCGATCATCTCGTGATCTGAAGAAACCAACTCGGCGCCATGCTAGTAAGCTAGAGGAGATCTCATATAATACATATAATACAAATTTTTATAATACACGTCATGCGAAGCGCCTGGGTCCAAATAATTTAGCCGCTATATTGATTTTGTTTGATTTATGAGAATAGAGATGGGGATGGGAATGGGAATGATCGTATGGAGTACAAAGTTTCAGAACTTCTGATTCAGTATTTTAAAAAAAAATCATCAATTTTTAATCAATTTAAATAAACTATACTTAATCTAACATTCAAAATTTAAAAATGGCACAAGAATATTAAAGATGTAAGTCATGTAACTGTGTCATAAAAATCACGTGATATTCTTTGAAAAAATTGACTTCCATTAAAGTCTACCTAGAGATGAATTTTATTAAATAAGCAAAAATATATCCATAATAAACCACTATGTTAACAAAATTTGCAGCAATATGTTAAAGTTATTTTAATACAATAAATAAATTATTTATTACTGCCAAATATTCTGTTTGTCTAGCTAAAATATTTTCCATCACATTTTTTTTAAAAAATGAATCCATTTCAATCTATCAAATCTTTGATGATGATCAAAAATTCATATTTAAGTTGGTGGAAATTATTGCTAATTTGATTACGATTATATTAAAATTTATGGCTACAATTTAATATACAATAATAAAAGCAAAGTGGAGTGATCAGTGATATGCATTTTGTCTCTAAAACTAAAGATCATATTTCAAATAGAAAAGCAGACAACTTTAAAAATATAATAAAAATAAAACTTTTAAAAGTATAGGAATTTCAAAATTCGGATTTTCAAAATATGATTTTTGGAATTTTGTCACTTTTGGTTCGCTAACCAATCAAAATCATTTAGCTTAAGATCATTGATTTTCACGACTACGCTGTGAAAATCTTGATATTCAAAGTTACCATGAAATAACTGATCACGGAACCGACCATAAACTTTTTTAATATATTTTTTTAGCCAATAATGATGGACTTTTATTCTTATGATGATAGACTTTTCACCCATCTTTTAAATAAACATATCATCTATGAGAATAACTAACAAGTTATAATGGCAATATTACTTAGTAATTACAAGTACAAATAAAGAAAATCAAGTCAGATTTTAAATTTTTTTTTGACTAAACTCTTTTAATAAAACAGGGAGCACGCATTACAATCTAAAAAGATAAAAATTTTCTTTTTTAATTTATTAACTTTATTAAATTATATCATCACAACACACATATTATAGCAATACAATGGTTTGCATTTTATACAACTGTATATAATATAATTACCTATATATTAAAATTAATCAAATTAGAATTTTACATATGCATTTAATCTTCAGATTATTTGAACATATAGCATCTTTATCTTATTACTTTTAGATGATTGGTTAACCAAATCCATATGCTCTATCAACTTTTTTCCTCCCCATTTTCTAAATCCGGTGATCATGGGACATATCCATATTCCTTAATTTAATAATATTTATATCCGATTCATTACCTTCTTATTTATATACTCTAGTATTACAATTTACCGCATCCATATAGAATAAGTTTTATTTCAAACCATTGAGTATAATTTTAAATTTATAGATAAGTTGTTTTCTCTCATTTCTTTAACTCTTGATTTCGCTAACGCTTCTTTAAATTTTTCTTCATTTTTGAAAACAGGATCATATTCCTAACTTTATTTATTATACATAGTTTAATAAAACTTGAGTTATGCCTGTAGCTAAATCTTCGTAATTCATTTACTGATTCTGCACTCAAAATATTGTCTACTTCTTCATGTACTGTATCTCTCTTATTAATTGCCATTGATCTCTTTTTGCACGTTTCGATTTTGGTACCATTATAACAGCAAACGTAATTATTACCAATAACTATTCCGAATTCTACTAATTTGCAAATTCCTCTAATAGACCTATTTAGTATTTCCGTTCTAACTATCTGATACTTGAATCATTTTTGATTTTAAATCAATTTATCTACTCTTAACTTACTTAACTTATTTATTAAATCCTCATCTTTTCAAAACTTGGGAACATCAAACAAAAAAATATTGCACAATTTTTGTTATGGATCATGTAATGGAGGAGTCATTACATGTCTATCACCATCCTTTCCTTTTTAAAAAAAAATGATAATTAGCAAAAAAAAATTAAATAAAAAAAATTATGAAATAAGAAAAATAATATGAAAATTGGTGCTTACTATAGTATCAAGTGCCTCGGCAAGCCCGACCTGAACCTAAAAAAATGAAAAAAAAAAATTAGTAAAAAATGTCTAAATAAAACAAAATCATGAAACAAAAGAAAAATATAAAAATCGATTCTTACTGTTATAGTACAGCAATTCGACGAACCTGATCTTGGTCCTATTAAAAAAAGATGAAAAAAAATAATTAGTGAAATAAAAAAATTTTGGTGCTTACTGTTGTACTGCAGCAGTAAGAGTGACATCCGATTCGTGAGCTCCCGACCCTAAGAGATGAAAAAAAAAATTTTTTTTTAAAAAAAACCATAGAAAAAAAAAAATCAAAAGTTATAAAATTGAAGCTTACAATAGTACTGCAGCACCGAGCTGAACCTAAAGAAAAAGATAAAAAAAATATAATTTAGTAAAAGAAATTAAATAAAAAAAAAAATTATGAAATGAGAAAACCGAAATTTGGCGCTTACCATGGTACTACAGGATTAATACAGTATTAAGAGTGCTATCCAATCCGTGAACTCCTGACCCTAAGGGACGAAAAAAAATTTTTTTAATACATAAAATATGAAAATTAATAAAAAAAAATCAAAATATAGCTTATCGTAGTACCGCAGCACCGATTTGAACCTAAAAAAAAAATAATTGGTAAAAGAAATTATATAAAATAATTTGCGAAATGAAAAGAAATGCTTACCATAGTGCCCATAGTGCCGCAACGCTGATTTGGACCTGAAAGATGAAAAAGAATTTTTTTTTTTTGTGAAAGGAATTAAAAATAATATAAAATTCGGCACTAACCGCAGTAAAGCAAATTTTTTCTTGTAAAAAAAATTTTTTTTTCTTTATGTATTAACTTATAAATCAAATCAAGTATAATAATGTAATGAACAAAGACACAAAAGGAAAAGAAAATTAACAATCAATTACCATTACTTAAGACAAGTGAAGAGAAAAAAAAGACGTGTCAAATCTCAGCAGTACATCCATATCATGTTGATCTACAGATCTTGGCCGACGCACTTGCCTTTCTAAAGTAAAAATAAAATAAAAAAAATGAATTGTCATCAGTATTATATACAAAAGTTAATATTAACTTTGAACATAGGTAATTAACAAACTATTATTTAATCTTTGTATAAAATTTTTATTACTTGAGTTTTATTTCCTTTGGTCATCTTTAACAATTGCAACAACTAAAACATTTGAGTTTGCATCGCCGGATTTGAGTGGCTAGGAAATAGGAATTATTTAACAAGTATGGAAACATCCATTTACGGTATCTATTTTTATTAATGGAGACTAAATATTTGTGAAAAATAAATAATTTTAATGAAATTAACCGTTCTTCGAACATAATTTCAGTACTTTGGCTAAATGAAATAGGATTAATAATGTACGACACTTTCGAATAATGACTTTATTTCTATGGTCAGTTACGATCTACATAGCAAAGAGTTTCGAAAAGTCAAAAGACTATCACTGTCAGTATTTTATGAAAAGCACCAGTCGAGATCACACGACTTTATAATGATTTGATTTGAACGGGTCTAATATGGTACCTCAATTTGCAAGATATTATGAATTTAAAATTTGCTCAATTTGCTCAATTTATTTATGAAAAAATTTAAGATATATATATCAAAATATTTCTTAACAAAAAATATAAAATAAAACTGTATATGAATTAATGTAGTTTAATTCTAACGAACAATAAATCTTGTTGCTTAATTTAAATCCTACAGTCTAAACAATCAGTAAAAGAATTAAGTGATCGAGATATATAGACAGCCTGTGGATGAGTAGCTGATTGATTATTTTCATTTGATAAAAGATTCGCTTTTCTATATTCTTCTACTTCTTTGAATTGTTCTTCAATCTCATTATTTTGAAATTGTAAAACTGATTCATATATTTCAAAAGAATTTGGTCTATTTTCTGGATTTGGGTCCCAACACTTTTTCATGAGATCAATATAATATTTTGGTGCTTCTAGTTCATCGATTTCAGGTCTAATTCCATTACAAATGCCTAATACCAAAAACTTATCATGTGGAAAATTAGCAAAAGGTTGTCTTCCGGTTGCTGTAAAATACATAATCATACCAAAACTATATATATCTGCCGCTTGAGTATAAGGCTTTCCCCTTAACACTTCAGGAGCTACATAAGGCATAACCCCATAAATTTTCATTTTATCTATATTATCAACTTCTCCACATAATCCCATATCTGAAATAGACAACATAT